TGCGTCTCTTATGTCATTATGACTAGGGAATAATTATATATATCTAAGTATTATGAAATATTATACTTGCAAATATAATTAAACTTGCAATCAATGTAATCAAAATAATTGAGAACGAATTATTCAGACATAGTTTGTTAGCTTTCAATCGACAATAAATAAAAAATAATCATTATAAATTATAGTTATAGCAAATTTGAGTTATTTTTCAAAGAGTATGATGCAAAAGGATGACATTAGAAAACTATATTATGATAAATAATAGTGATCATTATTTTAAGCACAATGAAGATACCATTAAATAATAAAATGAAAGACGATATAAATTTCTTTAGCATTTACATTTTCACTAAAAAAATATTAATTTTATTTTAGGTTTTCAATCCAATGTTTTTTTATTTAATTTAATTTATCAAGAGTTTAGTTAATAGTATTAAATGCAATATTTCATTATTCAATAAAATACACCATTTTTTGTTAAACTAATTGAAAGAAAATTATATTATACTATTAAATGTAAACCTAATACTAAAAATAATTAGAAAAAAGAAATATCACGTGCGTAACGCGTGCATCTTCCTAGTATCTGTGAGAAACTGGGAAAAATATGATATATGATATTCACAAGACATGTACACATATATATAGATACATAGAGGCCTTAGCTGCCTAAACCTAACTTATTGTACAAGAAAACATTTAACATAACTAACACCCCCCTTAAACTCAAGGTGGTATAGTGGAGATCAACTTGAGTTTGCTAAGAAGTAAACAAAAGCGACCGGGAAGGAGAGACTTCGTGAAGACATTCGCTGGTTGATCTATAGAGGAGACGGAAACAAGCTTCACAGTCGCATGTGCAACATGTTGTCGAATGAAGTGACAGTCAATCTCAATATGCTTGGTACGCTCATGAAATGTATCATTATGAGACATCTTTATAGCACTTCTGACTATCACAATGTAAAGCAGTAGACGCCGACTGAGGTGCACCAAGATCAGCAAATAGTCGACGCAGCCATAATAACTCTGAGGTGGAATCAGCAAGAGCACGATACTCAGACTCAGCACTCGATCTGGAAACCAATGCTTGCTTCTTACTGCGCCAAGAGACAAGTGAATCACCCAGAAAGAAGCAGTACCCAGTAATAGAACGACTATCAGTAGGATCTCCAGCCCAATCGGCATCAGAATAACCGCTAAGCGTCAAAGAAGAATGTGGCGAGAAGTGTAAACATGCAATAGAGTGCCCTTCACATAGCGAAGGATGTGCAACACAGCAGAATGATGCGTGGTTCTCGGAGCAGCCATAAACTGACTCACAATATGAACAGCATGAGCTATATCAGGCCGAGTGACAGTCAAGTATATCAAACTCCCAACAAGCTGACGATATAATGTAGGATCCTCAAGAAGAGAGCCATCAAGTGGAGTAAGACGAACATCATAATCAAGAGGAGTGGAAGCTGTCTGACAATCAGTGAGACCGGCCCGAGCAAGAAGATCAGAGGCATACTTGGCTTGAGACAAATAGAATCCATCAGACGAATCAGAGATCTCAATACCCACAAAAATAGCGAAGCTGGCCCAAACTCTTCATCTAAAAATGCTGACGAAGATAATCCTGCAAATCGGAAATACCGGTAATATCATCCCCCGTGATGACCATATCGTCAACATAGAGTAGCAAAATAATGATCCCGGAGGAGGAGCGCCGAAGAAATAAAGCAGAATCGTGATCACTCGTAGTGAAAGCAAACTGAAACAATGCAGAACTGAACGTGGCATACCAAGCACGAGGCGCTTGTTTCAAGCCATACAAAGCTCGACGTAGACGACAAACTTTCCCAGATGACAATGATCCAGGAGGAGGAGTCATGTAAACCTCCTCAGACAAGGCGCCGTGTAAGAAGGCATTCTGGACATCTAACTGTAGAAGAGACCATCGACGAACAGCAGCAACTGCAAGTAAACACCGGACAGTAGTAAGACGAGCAACCGGTGCAAAAGTCTCTTCATAATCTATGCCATACTCCTGGGAGTAACTCTTAGCAACCAAACGAGCTTTGTAGCGCTCAATAGATCCATATGAATTTGTCTTGATCTTATATACCCACTTGCATCCGATGGGAGTCTTGCCAGCAGGTAAATCCACCAAATCCCAAGTATGAGTCTTTTCTAAGGCCTGTAATTCCTCAGTCATAGCTTTTTGCCACAATGGATCAGCATTCGCCTCACGAAAAGACCTAGGCTCATGATGAGATAGAATGGCCGAATAACAATGATAGTCAAGTAAGTGAGAAGGGGGACGACTTACACGAGTCGACCATCGCTGATGAATAGCTGGCAAAGGTACAGAATCAGAAGAGGGATCAGTACGAACTGTCGGTTCAGGATGCACAGGTGGAGCCACTTCAGAAGACGGAGGCATGACAGGCGTGTCAATGAGCTGTGAGTCAGAACCTGTATCTGTATCTGGAAAAAGATCTGAAGTAATAGACATGAATAAAGGAGACGCCGAATCAAACGGAATGTGGAACTTAGACAAGGAGGAAAAGGTAGTATGCTCCCAAAAGGTAACATGACGCGAAATACGCAACCGATTAGAAATCGGATCCCAACACCTAAATCCTTTGTGTTCTACCCCATAACCCAAAAAACAACACAGACGAACTCGGGGTTCTAATTTGGTCCGCTCATGGGACGGAAGAAGTACAAAGCAAACACAACCAAAAGGACGTAACTGAGTATAATCAGGAGACTGACCGTACAACCTCTCAAAAGGACTGACATCACTAATGACTGATGAGGGTAACCGATTGATAGCATAAACAGCAGTCAAGGCTGCCTCACCCCAAAAACGATCAGGACAATGAGCAGAAAGAAGAAGAGCCCGAACAGTATCAAGAATGTGGCGGTGTTTACGTTCAGCTCGTCCATTTTGTTGGGAAGTATATGGACACGAACGCTGAACTAAGGTGCTCTGATCAGAAAGAAATTTCAAAAAAGTAGAATCTTTGTACTCAAGAGCATTATCAGTACGCAAGACCTTTATAGGACAAGAAAATTGTGTAAGAATCATGTTAGCAAATTGAACATATATGCTAGACAACTCAGAACGATTCTTGAGAAAATAGATCCAGGTAAAACGAGAAAAATCATCAACAAAAATAACAAAATACCGTAAACCACTCAGAGAAGCAACAGGAGAAGGACCCCAAATATCAGAATGTACCAAACCAAAAGGTTTATCAGCAGTTCTCAACTATCAGAAAAAGAAAGAGCCGGTTGTTTCCCAAGTTTGCAATGAAGACAACTAAAAGACTCAAAATGACCTGAACCCAAAAGACCCTTATTATATAAAGAACGAACTTTATTCGAAGACGCATGCCCAAGACGAAGATGCCACTGGAAACTAGACTTACATTCGGTGGCAGAAGCAGAAAAAGAGTAAGAACGAGGGACATGAAGTTACTCAAGCTCAAATAACCGGCCCGTCTTGCGACCTTTCCCGAGAAGCTGTCCCGTCTGTGAATCCTGAACCTGAACACCAGAAGAAGAAAATATAACATTAAGACCTTGGTCAACCAATTGACCAACAGAAATAAGATTCAAGGTCAAGTCAGGAATGCAGTATGTGTCGGGAAGATGCAAGGAAAGGGAAGAAATCAAACCAGTGTGAGTAACATTCATAAGAGTACCATTAGCAGTATGTATAGGAGGTAAAGAGGTTACGAAACACGAAGAAGACAAAAGCTGTGGGCTAGAGGTCATGTGATTGCAACAGCCAGAATCAAAATACCAATGTGATTTACCTTCGGTAGCAGACATAGAAGAATTGGAAAGAATAACCTGCTTGAGAATAGCTTCTATGTCTTGAAGAGTGTAAGACGGATGCTAAGGCTCAGTAGTGACAGCCGCTGTAACAGAAGAAGTGGCGGTGGAGGAAGACCCATGATGTCGATAGAATGAACCTCCCGAACGGTGCGATCTGGCTGGACAATATGTAGCAATATGACCCCGAACATGGCAAATGTGACACACCATCGTAGGACAAAATGGAACAATATGACCCCGAACATGACAAATGTGGCAGACCACCATAAAAAAATCCATATCCAAGAAATAAAGAAGCACCAGCAACCAGCAACAGTAGCAAGACGAAAGAAAATTACGAACTGGATCATACCGGATAAAATAGCAGTAAAAGGCCGAAATTAAAAAGTTCACCAAAACCAAATCCGAGCACACCACAAGGTAGCCGACGTCGACAGGAGTCGGCGGCTGAAAGACGGCGGCAATCGGAGATCGGGGTGGACCACACGCGCCGACCAAAGGGCTCAGCGTCGCGACAAAGACTAGGCGCGTGAGAAGAGCACGCGCCGGCGACGGGGACCGGCTTTCAGGCAATGACTCGCAATGACACGTCGGAGATGATGGCGCGGGAGGTGAGAACCGTTGCTGGCCAGAGACGTCCGACAAAAGAAAAATCTATAATGGATCCTAAACCTAGTCTGATACCATGTGAGAAACTGGGAAAAATATGGTATATGATATTCACAAGACATGTACACATATATATAGATACATAGAGGCCTTAGCCGCCTAAACCTAACTTATTGTACAAGAAAACATTTAACATAACTAACAGTATCAACTAAAAGTTTGAGGTTGTCAATAAGTTTCTGTAAGCTTTATATTTGGAGGATACGACAACATTGTTTGCTCAAACCTCAGCATATAGTGACAAGCAAATATAATGTTAAATTTAAAGCTTGTCTTATATAGGGCCGGGTAACAACTTTGTGGTTCATTCTCTAGTTTCTTATTAAGGAACAAATTCGTAACCAATACACAATAAAATGGGTGATGACATGTAAGTAAGGAAACTGTTCGCATAAAGTAAGTGATTTATAACTAATTCTTGTATGCACATGAGCAGCCAGCATGAGAGCATAACAGATAACTGTGACATAGTTTGAATAGAAAGTGGCACTGACAGTGAATTGAGCTTGAACACCACGAAGATCTTCTTGTTTCCATGAATCAGGAAACACATATGGGAATGACTTTGTTTCACCACGTTTTATTCCAATAATTGAGTTCAGAAAATCTGGAAGGACTTTATTTTCGTCTTCAGTGTCAAACTGAAACCCTGCAAAATAACGAGTATGGATCAATAGGATCTATATGCGAAAATAAGCAAAGAGTATCCACGATCTTCATTGAACTAGCCACAAACTATTTTACCATAACAAACAAATAAGGAAGAAAAGGGAGATTGTTCTTGCAAATCGTCACAGAATTTATCCCCTTGCAGAAGCTAACACAAATTTCACCCACAATATCAAACGAAAATTAGGCATGATTCCCAGTTCAGTACAAGATACTATGTCTTTTTCCCACACTGTCTCTTTTATGTGACCAAATATTTTAATTGCTAAACAAATACGTAATTGAAAAAGACCAGAACTGAAAATGCTCATTTCATGCTTGAATCAGGAACACATAGACCAATTTACAAGAGTACTTTGCCACAAACCTTTACTCTCAGCAGATGGTATTCTTTGAGCAGTAGATTCGTCCTGGTCAATTGTTGTAGCGGATAAATCAAGAACCGCAACATCACCCACCTGCACATGGTTTTGAAGTTAGTAACGTATATGAGCACCGAAAATCACTGTACATCTATTCAGTTACATGATCAGAGATAAGCAGCAGTCATCCCAGGAACTTCGATGTCGTCAACTGAATATGTGCCAATGAAAAAAGCTGAAATCTCAAACTTGCTAATTATGTGTTTGTGACAGCGAAGATGAATAATTTGCATTTTTAGTTCCAGAAGAATGATAAAGCATAGAGATCATAAAAGTGAAAGGAGTTGAGGAAATTTAAGATCAACATAGTGCACACCAAGTTCCAAAATCCTCAATCTGACAAAACCAGGTGTTTCATAAAGGATTGGTTTTAAAAAGTGAAAAATTAGGATATAACTCTTGATGAAACATATGATTTTATGTACCTCAAGACCTCTGTCAGCCACTATTTTTAATGCGCCAAGGGCCTTGTGACGGCGACGTAGTTCCTGTTCAGTTGCAGTCTGTGCATCTATTTCCTTATCAATCTCAACAACAATCTTCAAATTTTTGTACCCATCTTCAGGAACCCATTTGACTTCAGGTGCGACATCAACAATCACATCATATCTATGTCAAGAAGACATAAATTACAGCAAAAGGTGACAAGATAGAGAACTTTCATCTAAGTAATACAAATATTTATCCTCCATAACTTTAACAATAAACAAATTGTAGGGACTGTACCGTCCGGTCTGTTCTAAGACCTGCAATACCATCTCATCCTTTTTACACACCTTTATTTCATCCAGTAATTGATTGCAACAGTAAAGAACTTAAACCCCCCACACACATGAAAAAGAAAAGAAGGATGATTCCATACTTATTAAATCAAACCAATTTCTAATTTCCTCAATTTGCAAACAGTTATATATTTCTTAAACTAGTGTGTGATACTGTATGTTTGAGCAAATGATGCACATTTAACAAACCTCAAAGATTTCATGGAAGAATAAGTGCTCTCCATATCCGGGAATCTAGTTAATATATGGAGTGAATCTTCCAAGGCTCTTCCACTTACCTATGAAGTAACAAGTCATGCATTAGAAGTCGCTTGAGAGAATTTTTCATAGCAAGACATGCATTAGAAGTCGCTTGAGAGAGAGAATAGAGAGAGAGAGAGAGAGAGAGAGAGAGAGAGAGAGAGAGAAACTTCAGCACAAGGTATGACATTTTGGGACGGTTGGACTAAATAATCATACTTCAATGCGGACAAAAATAAAATCTTAATGTTTGCTTAATTCTGACGTTGAATGTGTACAAGTATATGTTGTAGCAAAATTAATACGCATAATGTCCTACGCATCAAAAAAGAATAACAGCTGTTCATTATAGAAACATTAAACTATCACATGTAAGAACCAGTTAGAAAGGATTAGAAGTGGTACAATATAATTAGTCCAACACACTTTATCCACAAGAATGACCCGTTAAGGTTATGAGGAGATAGATACAAATAAATAAAAGGCACACCGAGGACATGGCGTGTGGAAGTGTTCTCTTCAAAATTGACTCTATAGTAGCCTTCTGGACATTTTTCTTCCCGACAAAACCAACAAGAATACTCTCTGGAATGTTCTTTCCTGGACGAAAACCAGGAACCTGTAAACAAATCACAAAGGTTTATCATAACTCAACTCACTTTACAGATGTAACTGTAAGTAAAATTTTGATGTTATAAGCGAATAACTTGACCACATTGCCACATTAAACTATGTAGTAAAATATCGGAAACTGGAAATACCTTAGACCGTTTCATAAACTCATCGATGACCTTTTTGTAGCAATCATCACATACCACTGCAGGAACTTCCACGCTCAATCTCACCTGAAGATGATAACAAACTTTAAGCCGGACGGATGAATATTCCGAAACTCCCTTTCCCCTCTAAGCCCCAAAAAACTTGGAGACACTATGAAGTATCTCCACTTCCCCAGACTTAAAGACTAAGATGACGTACAATACTAATGTGAACATTATTGGGTATCTAATGCTACTAATATGATACAAAATTCAGAACCATATTTCCAGAGAACCACAAGGAGCTACGAAATTACATCCAATCGAAATTCAGACAACATGATGCGATTCAAAATTAAGGTAAGCAGGCAAAAAAAAGTGAAGGAGATAGTAAAACTGACTCTTGAATTGGGTTCCGGCGTTTCTGTAACTTGAAGGTCACCTGGAAGCTTGTCGGCAATGGCGTTGTCAGCTGTGGCCGGAGACGCGGATGCTAAAAAGCGGGTAAATTTTGTAGTGCGTGAATGTAATTGGTATTGCCTAGTTTTGGTGATGGGTTTCAGCCAACGGGCTCCGACAAAAGAAACGGAATTGGGTGAAGGGCCGACGGAAGCGGGCGTGAAGTGAAAGAATGTTAGAGGCGTTGCTCTACTGCAGCAGGCCGCCATTTTCTCGCGGGAAGGTTCCTTCGAGGTGGCTGCAGCCTGCAAGCGAAATATATGCGTCAGTTCTGTGAAGACGATAAGATAAAGATATTTTCAAAATTTCGAGGTGTAAGAAACGACGTCGTTAGATTTTGTGATTTTGTACTCGCAAGCTCTTAGTGTGGGAATTTCATTACAATACTCAATTTTTTTAGAATTGTATCAATTTAATGTGATTTTTTTTAATTAAAATATTTACATTATATATTATTTACAATTGAAGAATAACTTTTTTATTTGAGTGATGTTATATGTACAAATGTAGTTTACAACATTAGATAAAGAAATCATCAAGTCAAATCTTAGTCATACATTTATTTGCATATCAACTACCCACAATATGTCACATCATGTAGTCATATTGAATGTTGTACAAAAAAATTATACAAGTATCCTTTTCCTTTTACATATATTATGACAAAAAAATAGAATCAAATGAGAATGAGTCATAGTCAAAGCAATAAGAATGGATTGTAGCGGTCAGATGGGATATATCAATGCTCCGGTAGAGTCAAAGGGTCCAACTTTGGTCAAAGGTCATTGGCATTGTTGTAATTATGTGATATTGTTAATTTTTCACGCGGGAATATTTTACTCATTGCGCAGAATACACTGTTACGCTAATGTACGTTCTCACATGTACTAATGTGCACTTAGTCTAACACTATTGTGTATTCTGCAACTCGAGTATTTTTAATGTGCATATCCAGACGAAATAATGTACATTTTACTTATCATTATCGTACATTTATTTTTTAATAAATTACAGATTCAATCCATTAACTAAATTGCAATATATTTAAAATTTTTAAAATTACAACTCAATGGGATTTATCAAATTTTCAAAGAGAAGCCCACAATTCTAAATTGCAATTTCACCATTCGCACCAAACCCTCTCTCATGTCGCTGGTCAAGGACCTCGTCCTCCAGGTTGTCACGCGTCCCCTGCCGCCAGTGCTTTCGAGCCCACATTTGATTATTACACCAAGATGTGTGATAGACACTATACCTGAATTCACCAGAGTGAGATGAAAACACACTAGGGCAAAGAAAGCCAATGCAGCATCAATACTCCAGCAAAGTCTTTTACAAATTTCACTACCCACGAACAAAGGAATGAAAATTTTGAGAATCTAGAAAACAAAGGTGACGGCGTAATCTGAACAGGTTCCTTTTGCTCAGCCGCGAGTAGGGTTAGTACCGCGAGGGGAGAAGGTTGCGAGATATATTTGATCAAGTGTTTCAGCAGCGACAGAGAGACACAACGGTTGCTTGGTGCGATCTCAAGGTTGACGGCGGCAGTGGGTGGTGAGGCGGTGGGGCGCATTTTTTTGCATCGAGGTCGTCGGCTGGACAGTGGGCATTTTTGTATGTGTGTGTGAAAGAGAATAGGGTGGAGAAAGGGGCGCATCCAAGTTGGTGGGTGGAGTGGGGCGGAAGTATAGAGGGTGGATGGAGTAATGTCTAAAATACCTTAATGGGTATAAAGTTTTATGACTTTTTTTTCGTTGGATTTTTCGATCTTATGGTTGCCATGTATTCTTATTTCTTTCAATGATAATCATGCTCACTGAAACTCATTCCTTATGACAAAATTGTTAACTATATTTAATAATTAACTTAAATGAGAAAATTAATCCATATAAGTTGTATTTTTACAAAAGTTTAATATTTTTTTTAAAAAAAATGATAGGAGAATTTACAAATATATAATTTAAATATTAGTTTTATCTTTTTTTTTCGGAAGAATAAAAATTTTATAAAAAGACACAAATGTGCAAATACAACCACCAGCTGACACACAGCCACCAGCTGAATAAACATGACAGGACGAAGCCTGCCTAGAGACTACCCTAACAGGAAAATAACCACACAACACGAAAATACAAAACTACAACAGCCCCAAAAAGGTAATGCCCGAGTGTATGGTCCCAAAAGGATAATTAGTTCACACTACTGAGGCCAACGGCCCAAACCTAAAACACTTCAACTAACACAACATTAACGAGAACAACAAAACAAAATAAAACAAAAAAAAAATGAGGCCCTTCCCCGGCAAACGAAATAGCCCCGCCAGCAGCAAAACGATCAAATCAAGAAGGATTCAAGGCCCAGAAGCCGCTACCGAAACTGCAAAAGGCATATACAGTAGAACAAACTGAACCCCAAATCAATCCCAGAATTCGACCCGTCTTTAACCGAGAGAGCCCCGATCAACCCCCACACCGGCACCACCCGAGCTCATCTAACACCACTAGACGAGGCGAATAGCACCTGGTCCCCTGCCGCCTAACAACACTAGTTGAACAGGGGTGGGTGAGCGGAAAACGAACCCTCCACCCCAACCATCGCAACGGAACCGCCGCAGCCACCGGGGGCTCTCCCCACCCGAAACGCGCACTTCTCCCGACACCACCACAACCTGCCAACAACCAGAGGTTGAAGCCCCACCTGAAAGGCGGAGCTCCGCCGGAATGGCCAAATCCAACATCGCAGACGAGGGAGATACAACTAAAATATTAATAAAATTAAAATATAAATTAAAACATGTAATAAAGATACAAAATTAAAAAGTGAAATAATAAAAAAAAAATAAAAATTGGATTTAAATATTACTTTTACTTTTATCACATATTTTGATTATTGATAAAATGTAAGATTTCAATTACATATTTTTTAAATTCACTTCTCAATTTTTTATTATTAAACTTTTGTATAAATGTAATTTATATAGATGCATTTCTTATTAAGTTAATTTTAATAGAGATATTTATTATTTTCTGTTATAAGTATGCAAAATAAAAATAAAAAATAATAATATTTTTATTCACATAATTATGTCATAAAATAAAGTTTGTTGGCATTATATTAAGAAAATTTAAACATTTAAAGATTTATTCTGAGTCTTTAAGCATATAAATAAATTGGAGTCTACATCTTTTTTTTTTTCTTTGTGATTCATGTAAAGGGGAAATAGCAACAAGTTTTTCTATGCTTGTGGTTTTGAGAAACTTGAGAGATCATGACAATTTTGTTGGGTTAGATAGCTTGAGCCTAGTTATTTTTTAAAGTTCTCAAAATATGTTTCCACTTATACTTTTTCAAAAAAAAAACACAAAATGTAAGTGATGCATTTAAATGGGTGGTTGTGTAAGTATGTGTAAATCTATGGAGTACATGTGTGTGAATCTAGTTCATATGAATAAAATCAAATGTGCGAAATTTCCTTTGGAAATATTGGTATAACTGGTTGGGAACAAAAACTAAATTGTATAAAAAGTTTAGAGGATGTTTTGTGTTGCTGGTGTGGTGAGAAGCAAGAAAATCATGCTATATGGAAGACTAGAAGAATAGCTTACTCTGTAGGAGCAGTGGTCAATGGTTTGTTCCTAAGGATCCCCATATTTCATACCATCTTGACTCGTTGCTTCAGATCAGAGAATGGCTAACCAAGGGAGTCGAGCAGAACTTACATAGGGAGAGCTTTACATAACGGATGAGGGCTTAAGAAGCAAGTTGGCTAGCCAAGGAGACTTTAACTGGGATGTGGCAGTGCTTACTAATGATATGCATGCCTTGTCCTTGGAGTTCCATGTTGTTTCTTTACTGGCTATCCTTAGTTTTTTAACTTTGGGCTTTTCTTTTTCTCTTTGTTATTTTTTTATTTTTTTATTTTTTTTATTTTTTTTGGTTTGTTTGGACCTTCAGTTTCTTTTGGGCATTACTATTTACCGCCCCCTTGGACGATTTTGCCCTTTTCATTTTTTGTGTCCGCAAAAATGTCGAGCAGCTCGGAGGAAAAAAAAAAACCGAC